GGGAGGGAGGATGGGAAGGGTAAACAAAGGAGGAGGCTACAATGCTTGATAAGAAATGTACTCACTATCTTGCCCATGTAATTGTAACCCCTCTGTACAGTATTTTCACAATAAAATAAAAATTAAAAAAAATCCATCTACACTGAAAAAAACACCATGATTGTCATGGATTAGCTAAGGACTTTGAGTAGGGTGAGAAAAGCAAGAGGAAACATTTGGAATTCATGGATATATTCATTATCCTGATGGTGCTGATGCTTTCATGGCTGTACTCATGTCAAACGTTACCAAATTACACATTTATCAAGAAACATTTACTATATGATAGTTATACTTCACTTAAATTATTATGAAGTAGCGTAATATAAAATAAACACATGATTCAGATTTTGATCTAAGATCCCTAAGAAATAAACTCTATCAAGTGAGAATTAAGCAATTACAGAATAAACAAATTTTGGAAAATATTACAAATTTTACCCCTAAATATTCAGGCTTTAAAATGCTGAATTTGAAATGTCTATTAGACCTTTAAGTAGAGAGACCAACTAGGAAACAGGATGTATGTTCAGAAAAAGTGTCCACATCAATGATACAAATTTGGGGGTCTACAGTACATAAAAAGAATACTTAAGGTCATGTATGACTAGATGAGGCAAATAATGCTCAATTAAAATTAGTTGAATTAAAATTTCTAAGTATTTTACATTATTAACTTATTTTATCCTAACAAAAACTTCATAAAGTAGAATTATTCCCACTTTATAAAAGAAACTGAGGCATAAAGGTTAGTGATTTGCTCAAAGTTACACACCTAGGAGCTACAGTTTACAGTAAAAGCTAATATCCATTAGAAACAAAAAATATAACAGGAAGCTGGATAGGAAAAAAAAAACAAAAAACAAACACATCCAGACTATTAACTAGTAAAGTAGCCAAAAGTGTAATAAACCTGAAAAATAACCCCAAATTCAGAACGGACATGTTAATGACTTTCCTTATACATATTAAAAATCAATGCAAGCCAGGCACCAGTGGCTCACACTTGTAATCTTAGCTACTCAGGAAGCTAAGATCAGAAGACTATAGTTCAAACCAGTTCAGGCAGAAAAGTCCATGCAATTTTAGCTATTAAGGTATGTATCTGAAGAACAAACTAAAAGCAAAATGACTAAGAGTACATACAGCTCAAACAGCAGATACTTGCCTAGCAAGTGTGAAGTCCTGAGTTCAACTCCCAGTAAGACAGAGGGAGGAAAGGTAGGAGAGCAAGGAAGAAGGGAAGGAGGAGAGGGGGAAGGAAGGATTAAAAAGAAAAGAGAAAAAAAGAATCCAAACAACGCAATATACTGTGAAAAGTACTTTATTCAGACAGAACATAGAGCAGTTTTTTAAACCTTAATACAGAAATGTCATACCTGTCTTTCTAATTCTTGTCCTGTTATGCCAGCCTCTACATGAGCTGTCAGATTGTTCTCATCTACCCACAGAATTCGATTCTGTTACAAAAGAAAGAGAAAAGTTTATCTCTATGAACTACTAATATTTCCTCAGGAAATATTTAATTTCTTTAAATCCAAAGCAATGAATGATAAAGAATATTAAGCAAGTAGGGTTTTCCGATGGACAGCTACATGGGAAATGAGTTCCACTAAAACCTTAATATATAACATGTCATATTAATCAAGGCAGTTGGTTGGTTAAAAAAAAAAGACTGTCTTTATGCATGTATTAATTTGAATTGAACTTAATCTTTTAGCTTAGTAAAAAACTCTATGCCTAGAACTAGTGGTTCATGCCTTAATCCTACTACTCAGGAGATTTGAGATCTGAGGATCAAGGTTTGAAGCCAGCCTAGCTGCCACAGTCTGTGAAACTCTTATCTCCAACTAAGCACCAAAAAAGCTGTAATAGGAGCTGTGGCTGAAATGGTACAGTGCTAGACTTAAGCAAAAAAGAAAAAGAAAAGCTCAAGGATAATACCCAAACCCTAAATTCAAGTCCCAGACCAATAAAAAATAAAATAAAAAACCTTGTCCAGGCTGAAGTGCTTATTTACTTGCAAAACATAGACAATAATAATACATACTCACAGGGTTGTTGTAAGAACATGAGATGCTGTGCATGAAAAACATAGCATATATGAAGCCTGTCAATACTATCAGCAGTACTGTTAACAAAGCAATCATATTTACTTAAAAAAAAATTTTTTTTAAATGAAGAGCTGGGCGCCAGTGGCTCACGCCTGTAATCCTAGCTACTCAGGAGACTGAGATCTGAGGATCGAGGTTCAAAGCCAGCCTGGGCACAAAAACTGTGAGACTCTTATCTTCAATAAACCACTCAGAAAACCAGAAGTGGCACTGTGGCTCAAGTGGTAGAGTGCTGGCTTGGAGCTGAAGAGCGCAGGGACAGC